CTTGGCTTAATCCTGGGATTTTATTTTTTATTTTTTCTTAGTTTTACTTTTTGTTTTTTAACTTTTCAATTCCAGTTGACATTCAATATTATGTTAGTTTCAGGTATACAGCATAGTAGTTAGACATTTATATAATTTATGAAGTGATCCTCCTGATAAGTCTAGTACCCATTTGACAGTATACATAGTTAATACAATATTACTGACTATATTCCCTATGCTGTACTTTACATCCCCATGACTATTTTATAACTGCCAATTTGTACTTCTTAATTTCCTTCCGCCTTTTCACCCAGCCCCTCAATGAGTATGAGTATGTTTCTATTTTGTTCATTTATTTTGTTTTTTAGATTCCATGTATAAGTGAAATCATATGGTATTTGTCTTTCTCTGTCTGACTTATTTCACTTAGCATAATACCTTCTAGGTCCATCCATATTGTTGCAAATGGTAAGATTTTATTCCTTTTTTATGGCCAAGTAATATTCCATTATATATATGTACCACCTCCTCTTTATCCAGTCATCCTATCGATGGACACTTAGGTTGCTTCCACCTCTTGGCTATTGTAAATAATGCTACAGTGAACATAAGGATGTATATATCTTTTCAAATTAGTGTTTTGGATTTCTTCAGATAAATACCAAGTAGAATTGCTGGGTCATATGATAGTTCTATTTTTAATTTTTTGAGGAACCTCCATACTGTTTTCCATACTGGCTGCACCAATTTGCAATTCTGGCTGCAGCGCGCAAGGGTTTCCTTTTCCCGCATCCTTGCCAACATTTGTTGTTTGTTGATTTAACGATAGCCATTCTGACTGGTATGAGGTGGTATCTCATGGTCTTAATTTGTATATCTCTCTTAATTAGTGATGTTGAGCAACTTTTCATATGTCTATTTGCCAATTTTATGTCCTCTTTGTAGAAATGTCTACTTAAGTCCTCTGCCCATTTTCAAATTGGATTGTTTGTCTTTTTGGTGTTAAGTTGTATAAGTTCTTTATATGTTTTTGGATATTAACTCCTTATTGGATGCATCATTGGCAAATATTTTCCCCCATTCAATAGGTTGTCTTTTTGTTTTGTTGCTGTTTTCCTTCGCTATGCAAAAAGTTTTTAGTTTGATATAGTCCCATTTGTTTATTTTTTCTTTTGTTTCTCATGCCCAAGGAGACGTGTCCAAAGCAAAATATTACTAAGAGCAGTGTCAGAGAGTTTACTGTCTATGTTTTCTTCTAGAGGTTTTATAGTTTCAGGCCTTATATTTAAGTCTTCAATCCATTTTGAGTTTATTTTTGTACATGGTATAAGAAAGTGGTCATTTTATTTTTTCGCACATATCTGTCCAGTTTTCCCACCACCATTTATTAAAGAGACTGTCTTTATCCCATTGTATATTCTTGCCTCCTTCGTCATAGATTAATTGACCATATAAGCATGGGTTTATTTCTGGACTCTCTATTCTGTTCCATTGATCTATGTGTCTGTTTTTATACTATAACCTTGCAGTATAGTTTTATACTATAACCTTGCAGTATAGATATCAGTTAGCATGATACATCCAACTTTGTTCTTTCTCAAGATTGCTTTAGCTATTTCGGGTCTTCTGTGGTTCCTTAAGCCTGGAATTTTAAAGGGACAAATTAACTCATCTATTCTCTCCAGACTTACCTGGAAAGTAAATCAAATAAAATCAAAGCATTTTTCCCATAAGGAAAGATGTACAAAACCCCATTTCCCATAAAATTCTCATTCTTCCCATTGGCTTCTTAATTGTGAGAAAAAACAAACACTGTTAGTGATTGAAACACTCCACTCCAAGGTTGTGCTTATGATGAATATTTCCCCTTTCTTTTGACCAGTAGAGACCTGTTGGTTACTTGACAAGGTTGACTTTGCCTCCCATCTTTCCAGAGGGCCCAGAAATACAAGTAAAAGCATCTATCCAAGGAAAGTTAGTCGTGCTAAGATTTTATTATATATAGATCTTGTACTTGCTGTTTACACCTGTAAAAAATTATTCTTTGAAAACCACTTGCAGTTATGAATCTTTTTCATTACTCAGAATAAACAATTGAGTAATATTACCTAGAACTACCGGTGGTCTCTCCACCCACACCTGGCATATTCTCTCTAAAAGGGCTAACACCAGATCATCTCTGGACCAGGTGAGGGTACTGATGATCTATGATCCACAGCAGTTAATTCCAAACTTTCTCCCTTTCTAGGATATGACCATTTTCTATTTTGTTTGTCATATCTTAATTTGCAAATATTAAAAAACCTATTATAACACATTTATTAAATTGGTATATTTTTATAATAAATTTATGATTCGAAACATAACTCTAACTTTATAGCATACTACCAAGTTTTATAAAAATCTTCTGTACAGTATTATATATAAACAAATGTCATAAAACAAATAGTAATTACATTCTCGTTTACAATAACTTTAAAATAATTTTCCTTAAAGGATCCTATAAACAAGAAAAAGTTCATTTTAATGAATTCTAGAAGATATTCACAACTTCACTGCCCCATTTGAGAGCGAGGACCACACCAACATTTCATTATCTAGAGATCAGTATGTCTCCTTATCAAGAATGTTATAAATTCTTAAAGGACTCAGTCCTGGAAAATATCTTTTGGGGTGAGGTTTTGTGGACTCTCACAATCTGTTGTATAAAAACAGGGGAGGATCAAGGTTTTGATAGATGACTAGGCAGTAGATAGGTGATCAGTCAATTTAGAAGCTTCCTAAATGAGTTAATAATTGAGTGACTATCACATGCGTTTTCCAAAATCAGGAACTACTCATATAAATTTATGATCTTTATTCTTACACATGTTACAGAGTTTCTGCATATAACTTATCTTTATTGGTTAGTTTCAAAAGTACCTGCAGCCTTGACTGGGATGTTCTTAGTTCTAAATACTAGATTAATCATCTTCTTAAAAGGATGTGTGATTTTTTAAAACCCAATAATCGATAAGCCACATTTTGTCTAGTCTGGGCAGGCCTATATCCAATCCCTTCCTTGCTAACATTCCCCCACCCCCAAAGCTAAGAATTCAACCTGCACCTAATGGTTACTCAACAAAGTTGACTTTGTCCCCTACCTCTCTAGAGGGTCCAGAAATGCCTAAGTAAAAGCATCTGTCCAGAGAAAGTTAGTGTTGCTAAGATTTTCCAGCCACTCTTTCTCATACAGAGACCATGCATTTCCATTTGGAAAGGTCACCTTGGTATCCACCAAAGACAAGAGTTGGACTCAGTGCCCAAGCTTTGATCTGGAGCCTACTGTCCCCAAAACCAGCTCCAATATCTCCCCACTCTCCCATCCACCAGTCAAAGCTTCATGCTTCCCTGGAGCCACCTCTCTAAGAAGTAGCAAAGTGAATTCTGCACCTCAAGGATGACCTAAACTATCCTTCCTGTCTTGGCTTTTAAGACAGGAAGAGTATGGTAACTTTCTTGGGCTTAAAAAAAAAAAAAAACCAACAACAACAACAAAAAAACAGACCATGACAGCCTTTGGAAACCACACTGAGGGTGTAGCTTCCCTCTAAGATGTAAGTCTGTCCGTACGCGGAGGGTGTGTTTGTATGACATCTGCACTGTGGAGCCAGAGGGATCCGAGGAGTCATGGGATCCAGACTTTTTGCAGCTAAGGGAACAAGCATAGCCCATAACCTTGGTGAGCTGACAGAATCACAGTGTCCGTAGCTGAGCTTCCTTCAGCTATTGATTAATGGCTGTTTAACTTTTAAAATCTAAAAGGTGTTGAACCATCTCTTTAGAAAACTGAGATGACAAGTCCATCTGTTCTCTTTCGACAGATCTGATCTCCTTCCATACTGGTCATTTGCTGCAGCCGGAAAGGAACTCCAGGCAGCTGGAAGCGCAGGAGCTTTTGCCATGTGGTCTTCTGATCTGACTAGACAGCATAAGTAAGGCCTCCGCAGCAGAAACAAACACATGTGGGGCACACAGAAAACTCCAAAGGAACCTTTTTCAGAAAGAAACCAAAACTGACTGGCTTACCTGGGACACCTGATGGCAAAACTGACCCAGCCAAAAGGAGTCAAAACTCTTTTCATCCAGACCAAGAAGTAGAAATCCTGGTCCATCCTACTAGTAACTTTGACCTCAATAACACTCCCATTTCAAGTGGATATTCTTTTCTCTGTGTGTATGTGTGTAATGTCTTATTTTTAAGGAGAAAATAAAATGCGAACATACTTATCACAAACTATCTGAATTCACTGATCTCACTGATGTGCACCATCTGGTTTTAGACATTCTTGATACCTGTGCAGCTTCCTGTCATTTTATGAGCTTCTGAAAGAGTTATTGCCACAGGAGTGCCAGTCATGGCAAGATTCTGCAACACTGGGGTGGAAGTGAATGGACTAGTTTTGATGTTTCATGTCAAGTCTGATTTATAGAATTTGAAGAAAACCCAATTGGCAATGCATATGAACATTGTCCATTGTCAGGTGGGTATTATTTGACTGTAGGTTTTATGTCTGTTTATCCAGCTTATTTGAATGCCTACCTCATAGGTATAATTAAGACAGGAGAAGAAAAGGCAAGGACAACTGAGAGTGGATCTTTAGATATAAGATCCAACATGTCGTTGTAACTGTTTAAAGATGTCAAGGCCTCGTTTATACTGTGCCATGCCATTTCTACAGTGCTGACGTGTGCATCTTCTGTAGTGATGCTGGGAGGCAGAGGTTCACAGGACATCTAATCATTCACATAAAAGCTCACCAAAAATCAGAAAATAACAGTTTTGAACCAAACCATTTCAGAAGACTTATAGACAAGAAGAGAAAACAGACTTCTTTGCCAAGGCGGGCTCCTCTCCATTACCCACAAATGGGCTCCCTAGTTTAAACACTTTCTAGAGCAATGCTTCTCAAAACACCATGGCTATGCTTCAGAACCTGGGGACAGAGGTAGGGGGAGGGGAAAGAAGAGGAAGAGAAAGATGCTGAGATCCAACAACTGTTACCTAGAAGGGGACATGGAAGAAAGTGAACACAAGATAGTGACATTTTTCCCTGAGTAAGGAAAGTCCTGTGCTTCTCCAGAGACAGACAGAGGGCAGAGGGCTACACACAACTTTAAATCCTGCACAACTACTGGCTGGCCCCTTTGTAAATAACTATAGAAATTACAAAACTGGAAGCCTCAAAGCTTAATCTGGTTTCAATTTTTTCTTACATTTACCAATGACCAAAACCATAAAACTATTTTAACTAGAGGTTGGGAAAGCCCAAGAGTGTGCTGTTAACAACTCAACATCATGCTGTTGCATCCTTGCTGGTTTTATCATTTAAATTAGCAACTATAAAATCACAAGAAAGAAGACTCAGCAGAGAGCAGGAACAAGCTTCATGTGTGGTGGGTTGTGAGGGTTTTAGAAAGGCACCATGGACTAGAAAGAGTCAGATATAGGTAATATCTCACCCAGCCTTGGGGAGGAAAGTTTAGTTTAGCTGTTTGTCTCCACTACACCCGAGCTCTCCAATGGCAAGGTCTATGGGTTTTTTTGTCGTTTTCCCCAGCTCCTGACACACAGTAAACACTCAACAACTGCACGCTATGAAAACCCAGCAAAAAAAAAAAAATTGCACAGAAATGAGGTAGGTCCAAGAAAGTGATTCCTCCAATAAGCTAAAGACAGCAGCAAAGGGCAAGCAAAGCAACAGAGATGCCATGCTTTAAAAAATATTAGTCGCAAAACATAAGCAGGAAAAAAATTGAGGAGGAGGAGGCATGCCTACAGTTCGCTTGGGTTTGAGGAGTGTTCAAGTTGGAAGCTTGGCGCAGATCTCCTGACAACATGCTAGGCTACTGCAAGATCTCCCAATCTGGTTTAATAAGGAAGATTTACAAAGAAGAAGAGGAGAAAATGGAGAGAGTCATTTCAGAAAATAAGACAAACATGATGTTCCAAGAATATGACTTGCTTCCAGGTTTTCTAAGCTTCCAGTTTTTCTTTGGGGAGCTCAAGGTTTTGGAATGATTGGGGTAAAAAGAAAATCTCTTCTTTCACTGTGAGTAAAAAGCTCATTGAGAGCTTCGTTTGTCCCTCCTACTATGGCTTAGGAAAAAAAAGAGGAAGGGGAAAGTGGTGCAGGCGCCAGGTCAGCAAAGCTCTGGGCTTGAAAGAAAGGGTCTCTGTGACACCCTGGTATTTGTGCTGGGGCCGCCAATGAGGAAGTTCTACACCAGCAGGCCTGGGGGACCTAGGGAGAAAGAAAGTTTTCCCCTAGGAATATGGCAGCATCACCTCTGTGGGAGAGCTGCTTCAGGCACCAGACAGACCCAGCCCACTGGGCCCACGTTATCTGGGCTTGGTTTCCTCGATGTGGTAATTCAGTGCCTCAGCAGTCCCCTGAGATGAACAGTTTGTGACTCCTGATGTTCACAGTGCAGAATTGCTTCCACATTTTGTCCAAAGTGGTTGTCAAGGGGGGTACTAGAAGTGTAAGGTTCACAGAACCACAGGCTTATAAAGGTAGAAAATATCTCGATTTAAAACAACAACAACAACAACTAATCCTTTATATAATTGTTTTGCTTTGCATTGTCTTAATGGAAAAGGAAAATGAGTCCCAGAAAGATTTAGTTACTTGGCTGGGCTTCAGGCATTCCCGGCAGCCCTCAGGCTGGTCCTCTTCCAATTACTTCACTCCCATGTCCAAAGAGCCACACCCACCAGATCCAGAACTCTGGAATTCCCTGCCCAGATGGTCTAAAGCCTGCTTTGGGGGCCTAGGTGGACCTCTTTCTTGGTTCAAAATAGTCCATCATGCAGGCTCATGGTCTATACTTGGTACATGAGGAAACCCTTTGGAAAAGCATGAAAAGAGGGGTAAGTCATGGGACAGCTGGTTCCGTACCACCATAGTCCAACATAGAACCCCAAGGAAACCAAGTTGTCAAAATATGAACTTAGTTCGTTATGCAGGTGATTATTTAGCAGTTTGTTGGCTTGATTTATTACTGTAAGAATTGAGACATAGATGGTATGAGGACCCCCAATATGTACTCTCCTGAGAGTCCTTCTCAAAGCTCACCATGTCACACACTCAGCTTTCTGAGCAGGTACCTGACATTGAGGCTCAGATGTGTATGTTTTGTGAGTAAAGCTTTTACCCAAACTAGTTATTCTCTTGGTTTTGTGCTTTGGTAAATTTCATAAGGGACCACAGCTTATTGGAGCCACATTCCATAGTCTGGGTCACGGTGAGTTTCAGGAGGCGTATTTCATCTACAAAGCACTGCACAGACAGTACCTGGTCAGACAGCATTCCAGGCACGCAGCTGACCAGTGATGCTGTTCTCATTTTCCACCAGAGCTCGGCAATCTCCTTGGTCTTGAATGATACTAACCACAGAATTGTTCCTTTTATGGCTACTAGAGAAGCAAAGGGGTAAAAGAGAAGGAAGAGAGGAAACTGAGGGCAGAAGAAGGACAGAAAACATTCAATGCTCCATGTTCTGGGAATAAAGCAGCAAACAAGACTCAGCCTCTGTCTTCATGGTGCTAACATGCAGGGGTCAACAAACTTTCTGTAAATATTTATAGATAGTAAACATTGTTCATTTTGCAGGTCATACAGTCTCTGGTAGAAACTACGCAATTTGGCTGTTGTAACAAGGAAGCAGCTGTAGAAGATAACATAATGGATTCAGGGGGCTGGATTTGGCCCCCAGACCATACTGAGCCTACCCCTCTTCCAGTAAGTAAGTAGAGGTTCGTTTTACAGAGGCAGCAAAAGCAATCTCTTAAAAGGTGCTTTTAAGAGACCTCAATACCACTTGTTTTCTTTTCTCTGTTTCATAGGAACTCTAGTTTAGCTGGGATAGCAGATGTTCAAAGATAAGTCTGAGCACGGAGAATGGGGATGATTTTCAAGCTCAGGAACTATCATTTCACATCTCCTCTCTTGACTGAAGCCCCGGTGTACAAAATGATCCTTAGCAAAAATGACTGACAGCAGCCAGCCTATAGGAAGTTGAGCCTGGGTTTTTACCTGTCTTGCAGTCACTGCATCTCATGCAACAAGATGTCTTATGGGCATAGCATCAATTCCTACCTACACCAGCAGGTATCTGAGGGTCTGACTCCAAACATCCATGCCCTTATAAAAAAGAACCCTGGAGTGTTTTCTTGCCCTTTCTGCCATATATCGTTACAGCAAAAAGACAGCCATCTACAAAACAGGAAGTGGGTTCTCACTAGACATCAAATCTGCTGGCACCTTGATCTTGGATTTCAGCTTCCACAATTGTGAGAAATAAATTTTTGTTGTTTATAAGCCACCCAGTCTATAATATTCTATTATAGCAGCCCGAATGGACTAAGGTAAGGAGAAAGGGAAGGAGAAGAAGAGAGAGAGAGAGAAAGAATATGAATGAATGAATGAATTATATAAGCTCACTCAAGAGCTTCCTGAGAAGCAGGAAGTAGGAGGGAGAAGAAAAAGCTTCTCAAAAGGATCATTCACTTACTCTGATTTTCAATGATTCTCATAATTCTCAAAATAACATACAAAATCCTCATCTGGTGGTAAAGACTTTTAATTATTTTTTCCCAATCTATCCTTTCAGCTTTATTTCTTATCAATTTCTATGTATGTACTATAATCTAGCCAAACTCCTAAAAGGCCTTCATTTCCCTCTCTCCCTGTCTTTAATCATTCTTGTTTGCCTTCCTAGAATATCTTTCTCTCTAAATTTCACTTTAAAATTTTGTATTCAGCATTAACAATGAATTATCAATATGAAAAAAACAGTTTGTTCTCTGTCTCATACCACACAAAAATAAATTTGAAATGGATCGAACTATTCTTTTTAAAAAAATTAAAAGCCATTTTAATCATTTTTAAATTTCAAAACAATCACAATTTTATAGAAAAGTTACAAGTGTAGTAGAAAAAATTTTTTTTGAATCATTTGAGAGAAAGCTGCCAACCTGATTCCTCACATCCCTGAAAAGTTTGTATATTTCTTACAAAAAATATATTTTTCTACATTATCACAATATAGCCATTAACATCATTAAATTGACATGGATACATCACATCATCTAATCCTCAGACTCCATTCAAGTCTCAACAACTATCCCAATAATGTCCTTTATTACAAAAGGATTCAGTTCAAAACCACATGTTAGATTTAGTTGGCATGTCCTTTGGGTTCTTCAGTTTGAAATAGCTCCTCGGTCTTTGAAAA